CCCCAAAACCCCAAAACCCCAAAACCCCGTGATGTTTATTTTTGGAGTGAAAAAAGTAAAATCATTTGGAGTGATATCAAAGGTAATAATAGCAATGGAATAAAATTAATGTTTAATATAGATAAATATATTTTTAAAAACTTTTATTTACTCAAAAAGCGTATCTATTTGTGATATTATGAGTGACAACATTGAAACAGAGCTAAAGCCAGAAATTGAAAGACAAAAAAATCAGATTGATCAACTAACATATCAGGTGTCCAATCTGGAAACCGAAAATTAAGCACTCATTACTAAGAATTAAGATTTAAAGGATTAACTGGTTGTTCTAGACGAGGGTTTGGAAGAATAGACTTTGGATATTATGGGTGAAATTTTAGAAATGCAAAAGGAATTGGTTGATATCACGTTTGGGTATGCACATATAGTAAGTAATTCAGTCGGTTATGAGGTTCCATAAGACTTGAAAATTTTAATTGGTGGTGAATTCAACAATTGGGAGAGAGTTCCAATGATTAGGATTTCAGAGCGTCTCTTCATTTATAAAACTAAAGTAATGGCAGGCTATAAGTACAAATTTAATTTTCTCACAAGTGAGAGTACTGATACTACACTTGATTATCGCCAACCAGTTGCTTACAGTATATTTAATGATGGAAATCACTGCAATTACAAATATGCTATAAAAACTTCAAATCCTAATGGCCCTGAATCTTCTTATAAGGAAGTTATTGAAAAAATGCCAGAATTTATAAGACCCGAGACGATGAACAAATATAATAAGAAATTAGAAGAACTAAACGAATAGCTTAACCAATTATAGAGTACTTCACCTGACTTTAATCATGAAAAAGCCGAGTAACTAAACATTCAAGATGAAGAAAGTAAAATAGAATTGGTTCAAAATGCACTTAGAAGAAATAAATATCTTTTCTAATTGATTGGACCACTTAATGAGATATAAAATTATGCAATTGCTTCTCAATAGATGACATTGAAAGACAAAACTATTGAGTAGTTAAACTCTGTTCAAAAGGAGCGTGAATCAATTTTTCTCATTATCAGTGAAATATTTGCTGGTAGATATGTTAAAAACAAAGATGCTAATCCTATTTACTACCTGATTATTGGATTTAACAAATTCACTAATAAGGTGATTATAATGAGGATTTTTGATTAGAATGGGTTATTGATTTCAGATTCAAATGGCAACTATAGTTTTGCCTTATAAATTGATGATACTAACTTCATATCAGATTACTAAATTCTTACTTAGAAAGAGCAATCAGATCTTATCAATGATATTTTTACCAACAACAACCATATTTTGGGGCTTAAATATGAAATAGATGAAACTTTGGGATTCAAACAATATATTCCACTTGAAACAAATCCAGCTGGAATTGACTTCTAGAATGACTATTATATGGAACTTAGTTCTGGCGGATTTCCAACAACGGTAAAGAATGTAAATTTTGGAGCAGTCAAAACTTAGGCAATGAGAGTAGGCTCTGAATTCAATTATATCAATACGCCCATGATATATATCTATACCTCTGAATACTCTTCTACTGCAATCAACATATTCCATATTCACTTAACTGACCACAGTGAAAAGAAACAAGCATTCTAAGCTCTCTATATTAGAGATGATTAATCTGCATCTGATTTTGAATCATTCTAACAAGATCAAAATGGGCAAATTCCAAGATACAAAATTCTTATCCAATAGCAGAAAATTATTGCTGTCTTATACAATGGTGAGAAAGGTGTTGAAAATTTAAGTTTTAATGAAGTAAAGTACTGTTTGGGGGATCTATGCCAGCTTGTTGCAGTTAGTCCAGTCTAATTACTAGAGTAAACAGTAAAATTTGAGTTGAAAAGAATTCCTCTTGGCTTAATCGTAAGCCTTAACTAGGAAAATTAAGTCATTTAAGACCAGCCATTGTTCTAGATTCATACTTTTTGTCGCGCAAATTCTCATTTCGACGAATGGCCAGGGTTGTTGGAAGTTACTACTAAATCAGAGAAGAGCGATGGCTTAATCCTGAAAAATGGAAGAGATTTGGCAATTCCAGCTTGTGCATTCGCTGATAATGCTGCACTTCAAAGGGAATACGACTATTGGAACAGATGATCGCAATTCATGTTTTAATAAGCTTACGACAAGTGAAGCTTTTGATATTTCAATATTCAACACAAAATTAATTATTAAAACTTTGAGCTCTAAATTACTTATTTTATACTCGATATATTTAATTTCATTCTAGCTAAGGGGTTTTGGGGTTTTGGGG